GGAATTCATATTGATGCTCTGAAGACACTTTTTGAGTTTAACCCAAACCAACACACTCGTGAAATGGCCCTGAAATTGCATGTCTTCCATGAAAAAATATGTAAACATCTAAGGAATATAGAAAACTGCATAAAGAAGGTGTTTGGGAGCCTCACGAACCCATCTACTTTATTGCTCTACAACTTGCCTATCTGATGGAGCAAGGTGTTTCATTCCTAGCCTGGGTGATTGCATAAACTTAAGTTATACACATTGTACTTTGTATTTATGGTAAAGCTATTTAGGTCATTTGCCGTTATCTGTCATTTTGAACAACTAACAAAAGGGAAGGCAGCCGGTGAGCAGTACCCTATCACCACCCACGTTCAGCTTAAAGTGAGGGGAATATTTTATGGTATCGCAAGATTCGAATTCGGATTGCCGGCTCCAAAATCCAAAATTTGACCACAGGGACAACCTGCACCCTGTACAAATTGTTAGAAAATAAAAGTATTGTTGTTGAATCTTGTCTGTTTCAATGTGGTGAAAGTTGCGTTAGTCCGGCTTGGTAGAATCGAGGGGTCCGCCAATCAACCCAAGAAATAATGTAAAAAGACACATATGGGGTTCAACACAAGGCTGTTCATGCAACGAAAGTGGTAAAACTTTTGTGATTTTTGGCTACACAATAAAATCAAACCAAATATAAAAATAGGTGAATAATACAATACATAGTTTCATCAGTAGAAGAAAGAGCTTCTTCACACACACTACAGTGAAACAAGGAACACAGACAATTTTTTTAAGTAAAGTTTCATGGCTGCTCATACAGATTATGAAAAAAACAAAAAGGCAGCTTGGTGTGTAAAGATTATGCTAACGACTCAGAATGGCTTGTTGGCATAAACTTAAGAATCGAACCCCAGATTATCGCGTTGTGAGTCCGTAAACTTGCTCCGTCCCACCAGGGGACGTCAGGATAGGAAACCGCTGTATCACAATTTAACCAATTCGTTAATATTGGACATGACTTTTTATTATGCGCTCTTCATCATTATTTCAGAGTTAAGACCATCCAAGACGTGAACTGAACAGGATTAAGTAAGTGAAACAGTTAATTATTTGAAGTTATTAATGTTCTTCATAGTAAAAGGAGTGTGAGTTAACTGACATGATTGCATATGTGTTTAATATTTTTGAATGATAGATGTGTCTCAGCAATATTCCACTGTAAGGCTCGAAGATAGACGCCGTCCATCCAGTGTGTTTGAGGAAGCGCCATATTTATTATTTCTATTTGCACTTCTAGTTTTCTTGAATAGTGGTTTTGGAAGGTTTGTATTTTTGGTACTTTATTTCAACGTTAGGTTACCCTATACAGTTCACTCACTATTTTTTGCAGAAGTCTAATACCGGAATACCCACTTTATTAATTAACCGTAAATTTTCGTCTCATGCCAGGATTATTTCCCACATTTCACAATTGTTCTCTGAACTATATTTTCTTGTTTACTAGAATGCAAACTTTTACTACAGTAAGCAACTTGTGAAACGAGAGGATTAAGCCTTTGTTCCTGCTTCAGCTCTATGGAGGGCATTGTATTTCGTAAGTACCAAGTGTCCAGAATCAAGACCTGAAAGCCTTGTTGTTTTTAGGTACGTTTGAAACATTGTAACGTAATTAAGAACGGAGTTTGCAACAATTTTGTGTGATGCAAATCGGGTTTCTTGTGTATGAGAAGTTTGGAGATCCTGTCTTTAGGTTTTTGGTGGGAAATTTGTAAACTGTGTGTTGTTGTGACGCTCTTTACACAGTACTGCAAATGTTTACATATTACCTACTTTTTTTCATTTATAAATATATGTGTATTTAAATCCAATTTCTGATTATGCTGAGATCTAAATTAATCCTTTGAGTAGAGTACCACAGCATACATTAAAGAACATTTGACAAGTTTCGTGGTGTTTGTTTGTTCATTGTATTTCGAGCAAAGCTACACGGGGGATATCAGCCATCTCTAATTTGGAAGTGGTAGATCAGAGGGAAGGTGGCTATTCAACCACACCAACCACCAGCTCTTGCCAGACCGAACAGTGTGGTTGATTTGACCATCACTCTAATAATGCACTTAATGAGTTGTTTTTTTGCGGTAACGGGACGCGAACCATAGAATCTCAGCTCCACAGTCCAACATGCTAACCTCGGCCTAGTTTCGTAGTGATAGCGGAGAGTCAACTGTAACGGAACATGGGGATTATTATTTGTGAGGCTGTCGATAAAAACTATTATTTGCGCTCCTGAAAATAATGAAGTTCGATCTCTGTTAGAAGAAAGCCGTGTGACAGCTTCCCTTTTAATCTAATTATATTTTAGGTTTTTCATGGAATAGTCATAATCTTCTATCAGTTTAAAAACAAACAATACATATTAAAATTTAGCAAAAAAAAGAAGACATATTACAGTGTGGGACATTACTTCGAAATATCCTAGACTTAACACGAGAAATATTCAGCCAGAGTTAATGAAATTTGACATCAGTCCCTTATGAAGTTTCTATGTTTTAATTTTACAGATATTTTGGTGACTATAGAGTTCATCATCATCAGCAATATACACACTGACATATAAATACATGAGATTATTTACTTAACTTATTTCTAATCCTTAAGCAAGTAGCCGAGAGAATCTCACAATCACATGTTACAAAAGGTGAAGATATCTGTAGATGCATTTTTACCTAATATTTTAATGTTAGAAGTTGTAAAAATTCCAAGTGCTACGGTTACTGTGCACGTTGGTCTGATTTGGTTATGAGTTTTGCAAATTTTCAGAAGAACACAAATACCTTTTATCTTAACGGAATATTTCTTGTTTTTAAGGCAAAATGTTTTACAATTTATGTCTAGTAATATTTAAGAAAATAATCTTTAGTACGCCTCATTAAATCCACGTAATATACAGTTTAATTCAAAGCAAACAAGCTACCCTACAGCCAAAGTATAGTCACAGTTAACTGGCTTGTATCACATTGTATTTCATTGTTATTTACTAAAATTATACTTTTATTTTCGAAATGCAAAGATTTTATTTTATTATGTTCTTTGATGCTGTTTGTTGATTCTACTATCAGTGTGATTCACAACTATAGATCTTTTAAATACATATATTATTAACGCACATAATCTGTGTAATCTTACTGATATGCTCGCAGACTGATAAACAGGCAGAAAATTCTGAACTTACATCGATTACTCGTTTTTAAACATGGAATAGAAATATATATGAGTTTTAGCTTATTCGTTGATGTAAAATCTCTGCGGTTTGGACATGAAGAACTACAGCTGTTCTTCACATATTTGAAGTAAAAACCACTGTAGACGTTCAGCAGAAATATGAATAATAAATTATCATGACGTAATCCTTTACGACTCCTTGACGTCACCAGTAGAACACTGATTTTCTGTGTTGCACAGCATTGGTAAGGTTTCTATTTGAACATAAAACATAAAAGGAATAAGGGCATAAGAATACTTATATAAGAAGTAAAAATGTTATAACTTCTCGATTCTTAGGTTACTTTTACATATTTTTTTCAGCAAAAGAATCACAAAAGGATGTTAAAATAAAAGTTCCTAGGCTCATATTAGTGCATCTGTAGTCAAATATGGAGTCCAGAAAACAAACGAAAGATATATTTAAAAAGATATAAAGCGACATGTGATTCTATTTTTGTACAGCATAATGAAACCTAAAAAATTAACCTTTTTTGTTCTACGATCGTCTTGAGAATATAATCTTGTAAAAACACATGTACTAATATTTGTTAGGTTTCTTTTTGTTCTACATATTGATTGAAAATGAAGTCTCCAGAAGATTAGGTAGTGAAACCTATATTTTTTCGATTATCATTACTTTCCAGTGGAATACACTTTCAACTGTAGAAGAAATGGTTCATGATTTTCTGTGAGGTTACTGGTTATAACGTGTAATTGAAGGTAAAACATACCTATCATGTGATAAGTAAAAAATATTGCTTATTAGTCCTATCGTCTTCTTATAACAATCCCATGAAATCAATTCAAGCTATGGATCTCAATTTATTCTGTCGTGCAGTCAATAGCTGTTATGTGCTGAATAGAATATAACTGCTCTGTAGCCATAACTCTAATTGTTAAAACTCTCCGGGTTGAGGCTATTAACTTCATGAATCTTCCTCATCTGGGGTGTGAATATAAAAGAACAGTCGTTTTAAATTTTAAAAAGGACGATATTCTTTGTTGAGATAATCGTGTACTTATACAGGATAAACCACACTGATGATGTTTTGTTTTCTAATTGTGTTATTTGCAGTATATTTATATAAATATTCGATTAATATTTTAATAATCTTAAGTTTCACTTTTAACATGGTCGATATTTTAAAATAATTATGAGTAAATGAACGACAAGTAATTGACCGAATCCCAGTAAAATATTAATTCTTCGATATATTACAGTGGTTCATGCATTGATAACTCATGTTATTTGACGACATCTAGTTTCATAGAAACATGGAGAATTATTCTGAACCGTGAATAATACGTTGAATAATATCCAACAAAGAAGAACTGGATGCTGTTAGAAATTTGTGTATTTCTATATATATATAGATATATATATCAGCAAGAAACGTTTCTGATGCTAATGAAAACTTCAAGGACTTGTATATTTCACTCACAATTAATATCTTACTTTTTACAAGTTGAACCCATAGTTTGAAAATGGATACTAATACTACATCGACAAAACGAACAACTCTAGAAATATCATATGACACTTAGAAAATTATAAGCAAATTTTACAATGACTTACTCAATATTATATAGATCCCATGTGATGAGCTTAGAAAATAGAATATTACATTTGTTGTTAGTATTATACCTCTGCAAAATGACGTTTTCCATTCGCTAACCCGCCCGTGAATCTGAAATGAGTTGACAGTTGTGCACCACGTTAACGCTTTGCGCATGCGCGTCTCATTGTAAAACTTACGGCAATCGTTGATGTAACGAGAAACTAGGAACATGGCTGACGACTCTCGCGATGAGACGGATTTGATCCCCTCAAAAACCCCGATGCGGCTTCGAAGGAGAAAAGGTGCGCTAAAGAAGAAAAACGTGTACACCATTAAAGATCATAAGTTTATTCCAAGATTTTTCAAACAGCCAACTTTCTGCAGCCATTGTAAAGATTTTATTTGGTGAGTAGACCCATCTATATTTACTTCTGGTTCGTTTCAATATTATTCTACTACTGTACTGTGGTGGGTTTGAATTTGTGATAATCATTTAATGGGTGAATATTACTCGGTATGTTTGATAATAAGTAAGGATTATATATCATACACAAATATCTTACTTCAAAAAGTTAAGATTGTTGTCATTATTATATAAATATACACCGCAGAGTTGTTTGAAGATATCAACTGATTTAATGAGTTTAGGTAATTTTGTGTTACAAGACGTTCTTTGACTTGTATATACATTTGACAGAAGTATCTTCGTTATTATTATACAATGTCCAATATTAAGATAAAATTAATTAATTTCAAAGTTTGGTAGAGGTCGTGCTTGTTGATCGAGAAATAGATAGTTAGGCTCAGAGGTGCCATCATATATAAAAAAAGTGCGGGAAGGTACAGTGTAGACCAAATAAATCTGAACAGTTTGAGAATACTCTTAAGACTGTATTTTTATGTTTGAAAATACAAAGGCAGATCTTTTATTCTAAACCGCAATCCTCAATAAATATCGTTATTGTTGGACTATGTGTCATCTGTGTTCTTCCTTACTGTAACCAGAGGCCCATGTAACTACTAAATGAATGAATCACAAGTTTTCATATCCTTCCTCTGTAGGAACACTCCTTTAAAAATTAACTGTCAGTCTGTCATTTATGGAAGTAGACGTGAGATAAAACAGAAAACACCCACAAAATGATTCATCCCTGAGTTGTCAGTGAAAAATCTCCTTCTTCGATTTACAAACTAGATTGATTATCCCTGAGATGTCGTAACTGTTCTGTAGTGAATAGGTCGTTACAGAACCAGCGTAACTGTTCTGTAGTGAATAGGTCGTCACAGAGCTAACGTAACTGTTCTGTAGTGAATAGGTCGTTACAGAGCTAACGTAACTGTTCTGTAGTGAAGAGGTCGTTACAGAACCAGCGTAACTGTTCTGTAGTGAATAGGTCGTTACAGAGCTAGCGTAACTGTTCTGCAGTGAAGAGGTCGTCACAGAGCTAGCTTAACTGTTCTGTAGTGAATAGGTCGTCACAGAGCTAGCGTAACTGTTCTGTAGTGAATTGGTCGTTACAGAGCTAGCGTAACTGTTCTGTAGTGAAGAGATCGTTACAGAGCTAGTGTAACTGTTCTGTAGTGAATAGGTCGTCACAGAGCTGGCGTAACTGTTCTGTAGTGAATAGGTCGTTACAGAACCAGCGTAACTGTTCTGTAGTGAATAGGTCGTTACAGAACCAGCGTAACTGTTCTTAGTGAATAGGTCGTTACAGAGCTGGCGTAACTGTTCTGTAGTGAATAGGTCGTTACAGAACCAGCGTAACTGTTCTGTAGTGAAAAGGTCGTTACAGAGCTGG